GTGCGGAAAAGTTGCGTTTTGATGTATAATAAAACTGTAAAAAATATTTTTTGGATTTGACCCTATCTTCAGGTTCCATATTGAATTTAAATTTTTGGAAATAACAAAAAAAATAAAATTTAAAAAATTTATTTTTTTATTAGTTTTTTTAATCAAAGTAATTGTTTTATGATACAATATACATTTTATGATTGGTAGTCTGATTTTGTGTTAAAAAACGGCATAATATTTTTAGACTGCAACCTTGAACGAATAAAGCCATCCCTTGATTCTGGTCCATAAACAGCAGCTGATGCTTCAGTTACTAACTTAACAGTTCTTTCGACAGATTGGGTATGACAGGGGCAGTTTAAGACCTCTATTTTGTTGTGATTCCCGGAATCAATCATATCCCTTACATTTTCATTGGAAATATGTTTTAGCAAAGGCGGAGCCGTAACACTGCATTCAGAAATAGAAATTAAGTCAATATAATCTTCAGCACTAAAATTTAATGTTGGTATTTTAAATCTCCGAATCTTTTTTTCTTTCTGACTTTGTCTAGCTTTCAGCACTCTGCGTAGTCCTAGCTCCCGTATATGTTTTCGTTCATCTTTTATCATTCCGAGTAATAAATTTTCGGGGTGGGCAAAGTAAGCATTCCTTTGTATAACTGCATCGACAATTTTTCTTTGGTCAACTGGTAGAAATCGTGAATAATGGATCATTCGCCATAAATGTTTCGAACCATCAGAACAGCTAGGATACAGTTTTATATAAAACCAAACTGGTGCATACACTTTTTGGATGAAACTTACTAACATAATTAATTGAGGGCTGGGACATTCAGTGCCAACATACAACCGAAGCAACCGATTAGCAACTGTCAGTCACCTTGCGTGTGATATTTTCCCAGGGTTTTGAAGGCTCAAATCGTTAGGACATTTTCCTGCAGAAACTGCTTGACTGATTTGGTACAAGTACTTCTGATCGGTACTAAGGTCTGTTGTTTCTAATAATACTGGTAGGTTGTTTTCTATTGTAACGAAATTGACGACAACTTTCTCTTCACAGCGTTCCAGAAGTTTTCCTATTGGCCCTGAAAAACCAAGTGGTCTACTGGTGCGTCCATCTAACTGTTGTATTAAATGACGTAGAGGTAGTTCGTTGCAATGAAATAAGCATACTAGCCATTGAAGTGAGGTGCCGCAGTATTCTTCCAGTTTTCTTATAACGCCTACTTGAGGGCTAGTGTTCACTACCGTACCATCGCATCCAACTGCGCTTAACTTCGGTATATCAATATTATTTTTCAGGATGAATGTCTGTATGCTATCCGCGATGTTTGCAGCTGATCCTGATAAAGGAGACACGTGCCCTAGATATCGAGAGCCTGGTTCTTCAATAATTGTTACATGTTCTTCTGTAACTACTTTTCTATAAAACCATTTGCCTTTTTTTTTGTTGCAAGACAGTCTTGTCTTTACGCCCATCAAAAAATATACTTCTGATTGACAGTCCCTCCTTCTGCTTCTGGAGTGAACGTCTATGAGATGCACGCTGTCGCCTTATTTTCATTCTATCAATTACTTTCGATGTATCAGTCACAGTTATAACTCCCATATCTTTTAAGACCGCTGATGCTATAATTGCAGCAGAACGATCGGAGACCCCGGTTCTGTCGCACGCCGAAGCTAAACTTGGCAAGCAAATCCGCATTTGTGACGTAGATGGTTGGACTGTAACTGTTGACAAAGGGGCAATGAATTCTTCTTCATGATCATCTGCATCAGAAGAATTTGAGTCAGACAAGTTGCTACTTATGGAACGATTTGAGGAATCAACGGGACATGCTTTAAGAACAATTTTTTCAGTATTATATTTTTGAGAACTTGCCTTTGCCTTCGTGGTTCTTTCCATTTTCTTGCTTATTGCAGCAGCTGCTGCAATATCCACTGGTCCAATTGCCATTTTTCTACAGGATCGTTGATCTTAAAGAAAAATTCGCTCATTTTGTGGTACTTTCTTGGTTTTATCACAAGTACACGCACACAGTGTTCCACTCATGTTGCACTTGCAAGCCGCGATATCAAATAACTTTTCACACTCATTTCGAAACTGGCAAATCTTTTCTTTGTATGAATTAGATGCTTGCTGAGTTTTTGTGTATCGCTTCAGCTTTTGATACTCTGTATAAATATTTTTGATCATATCTTGAATGCGCTTATGCGATAATGTTGGAATAGAAGCTTTTATCCATATTTGTTCTACTTTCGTTGCAACGGCATTCGAGGCGTCGGCGATAGATGGATCTTTATTATTATTTGTTAACTTAAGTTCATTACGAATAAAGAGAAAGCACTTTAGAATGTCACACTTAGTGGGTAAAACACGATCATTGAAAACACCAATAATTGTTCCTAGTATTTCACAGTTCAAACTACTTCGCGTTGACATTTCGAAGAATATGTTTATATACGACACGTCTGTGTGAGATAAGAAACTCAACATTACTGTTATCTGTTGTTGTGTCACTATGCCTGCGTGAATGGTTGCAAGATTGATGTAACATCTGCGTCTGCGTTTTTCCCTTCTCTACATACTTGATCTACAACTGGCGTTGTTTGGAACACGTACTTCATACCATCAAGCTTCAATGGCATTATGGAACCTGACAGGAGCGTCATTTGAAATTTTGATATGGGGGTGGGGCAAGCATTATATATACCATTATATATGCAAACATAATACAAAATTGATCTATTTTTTGTAAATTTCAGTCATTTTCAGGGCCAGGGGGAGGGGGCAAATGCCCCCTTGACCCTATCAAATGACGCCTCTGGAACCTGAAAACATCGTTTAATTTCAAAATAATTTTGCATAAGATGCTTTTCAATCCTAAAGACGACTGTTGATCATAGCCAAATCGATTTTTTTAACAAAAATATATTTTTTGTTTTTTTCATTTTTCAAATCCAATATGGAACCTCAAGATTTTTTTTTATTTCAAAATAATTTCGCACCGTTTGTTTTCATTACCTGACACAACTTTTAAACGATAGCCACAATCATTTTTCTTTTATTTTATTTTTTTGGCCTTTTTCGTTCCACCCTATTATATATATATATATATATATATATATATATATATATATATATATATATATATAAGAATTAAAAAATAAAAAGAAAGATGTACAGCTCGGAGATGTTGAATCGGGTTATGTCTTAGCGCAGGAAAAAAAAAAGAATTAAAAAATAAGTTGTAATTTATTAAAAATTGCACGTTAGATTGTACATATAATTGTATGTTTATTCCTCTAACTGGAAAAAATTCCTCTGATTGTTAAAATTGTTTGTCTTTAAATTTGTCTGGCTAATTGGCTCGGCCAAGGCCATCAAACTAAAATAAAAAAAAAGTGCCCTTATGGTGCTCTATCCAATTATTGGATGTTGGCGACAATTCTGACATATTCCTCTCGATCTTGTGTGGCTCTAAAAAGTGCATGGGCATCGAGGTTTGTCCAATCCCTTATGTTTTTAAGCCATAAGTATTTCTTTCTTCCGATGCCTCATTTGCCTTCTATATTCTCTTCCATAATAAGCTTTAAAAACTGGTACTTGGCATTTCGAAATATATGACCCAGATAAGCAGTTTTTCTTCTTTTTATTATTGGAAGCAATTCTCGTTCTCTGCTCATTCGATTTAATACTTTGACATTTGTTGTATGATCTGTCCAGGGAATTTTAAGTAGTCTTCTAAAAACCCACATTTCAAAGGCCTCCAATCGGTTCATCGTATTGGCCTTTATGGTCCAGGTTTCTACACCATATAGAAGTATGGAGTAAATGTAACATTTTACAAAGCAATATCGAAGCGTTAAGTTGAGGCTGCTGTTGCTTAGCAAGGTTCTCATATTAGTAAATGCTGTTCGGCTTGCTCAATCCTGCTACGTATATCTATGTCTGGATCTAGATCTTCAGTTATCTAACTACCAAGATATCTGAACTTGGGGACCTTTTGGATGTTCTTGTTGTTTACTCTTATATTTAATTGCATATTTCGTCGTCTACTAACCACCATTACCTTCGTCTTGTCTACATTAATCTTTAAGCCCAGTCGTCCTCCTTCAGTCTTCATTTTATCTATTAGTCGTTGTAGCGCTTCTTAGATATCAGCTATTATGACTGCATCATCAGCATAGGGAAGATTACTAATAGTCTGTCCATTGATTTTGATTCCATCTTCCGTATCAATTAAGGCTTTATCGAAAATCGTTTCAGACTAAAGATTAAAAAGGAGGGGTGACAGAACACAACCCTGTCGTACACCTTTTTCGATTCAGAAATATGATGTAGATTCGAGTCTTACTCTCACAGATGCCACTTGATTCATATAAAAACAAATTTGACACAAGAATAAAAAAGCAGAATAGAAAAGTAGTATTTTTTCTGGATAATGCTACATATGACTCCAAGATTGGACTGGATAATGTTAAACTTATGTTTTTTCAATACAATATTATCACATTGTCAACCCTTGGATTAAGACATTATCCAGAATTGTGAAACATGTATAGGCAGTAGTTGCCCTATTCTCTGTTTTATGTGTAAACAGATGCAAATTGTACATTAGTGTGTTTAAATTAACCTAAAACCGAACACAATACATTAAAGTAAATAAACTTGAAGATAGCTACAGTTTTAGTTAGATCAACCCAAAGGAGTATATATCTGTTTTTACGTGAAAATAAAATAATTGGTATTTTTAAAATTTTTGTTAAAATTTCATAAAACTTTTTATTTCATTGTAACTTGATTATTCATCTATAAGATTTAAAGGAATAACATTTTTATTTAATGTGCAATTTTCATAAGATAAATTATCAAAAAAAGATAAATGAAATCGGGAAAGACGTTCTGTAGTTATGGCGTGACATAGGAAAATAGAGATTTATTTTTATATAAATAATTTTGCGGTATGATTTATCTTTTAATATATACCTTTTTGTTGTTTTTAGCTAGAAGTCCAATGATTGGATATCTAAATGCAACTCTTGAAGGCCTGACGGCAGTTCGAGCATTCGAGAAGCAGCCATTACTAATTTCAGAATTTGATCAACACCTAGACCATTATACATCGACTTCCTATATGATGGCGTGCGCCATTAGGTTCTACGGTTTTATTATGGATATGGTATCAACTTCATTTTTTGCCGCCATAGTAATAAAGTTTGTTTGTTTTGATAGAGGTAGGTAAATGGACCAAAATAATTAGTTTCGGATTAAACGTATATCATACTAGTTCTTCCTCTCCATGTGTCGTCTTCATCATTGGAGGTTGGCGGTTATTCTAACAAACATTTCTCTGTGTCATCTATACATATAAGTTCTTTGAAGCCTAGTCTTGTACAATTTTTAATATTAAGCAGCCAGGATAATTTTTTTCTTCTAATACCTCGTTTCACCTATATTTTACCCTTAATTATGAATTGATGAATATAGTACTTTTAGTTACTAATTAACCCTACATTGGTAGCGTATAGTGTACTAACTATACTATACTAACTTTTTTTTTCAACGTAAGATGTCCATAAGTAAAAAGTTTTCTTCGTTAATAATAATTTATTTATAAGCTTGGCAAAACTATATTTAACTTACGAATATACAACATTGTAATTCACGGTTTGCTAGACTCTTGTTTATTCCCAAATGACCTCCGAATACACCGCTGTGACATTCCAAAAGTACCTCACGAACTCGATTTTTTCGGAGAACAAGGACAAGTTGAAATTTGTGCTAGCTTACATCGGGACTTTCCCATTTTCTGTATAAAATACCATCCACTAATTCCAAGAAATCCCATTGTGTCCAATAACTTCTAAGTATCATACTTTTGTCAGAAATTTCACTCCAGATTGGTCGACCCTATTGCATCCCTAGGTTCTATCATGGTAAGGATACTACTTGTTAAATTTTTTTGTAATGTAGTTATTAGAAACTACAGCATGGCTATTAATGAAGGATCTTGGTAAGAGGGACCTTCTGAAATATCTCCAGAATCCGTCGGCAAATCGATATGACCTCTATTTCTCGGAATTTTCAGCTTATAATCGTCTGAGCTTGACCACTAGAACATCCCACTTTTGACACCAGTTTGTACCGTGTTTTTTTTAAACGTGGATCACGAAATCAAACTTTATTAAAAATGTATAAAATACTAAACTAGCTGACATTGAAAAATTAATTAATTTGACAAACCACCTTGACCGTAAGTATGACACTTCTAGTTTAAGGGTGATTCCAAGTACCAACAGCTGTCACTCGATTTTCAGTCGTAGAGCTTGTAAAATGAACGGGTGGTAACTTAGACAAAAGACAGAGGGGGACGCGTAATCCTATGGAATTTACTGAAGCCAAACCGGCACCAAACTGGCACCACAAAGGTTCCCAGTTCGTATTTTATTTCTTCAGTAGATTAAGAATAATGAATATATGAGTATATTAATGAATAGATTGTTATAGGAAACATACAGGCACCAAACATGTCGGTCACATCGAAACTGGCTTCACTTTTCGAAGGTTTATTAAATGAGTGTTACTTGTCCTCTCTCTGTCCTTGTCTAAGAGTGGTCACATTTAAAAATACGCATATTAATTGTATAACCCGACAAGCGAGAGCTGGCGGGTTGCGTGTAGAACAAATTGAAAAGTGGAAGGAATTGCTCATTTCTATTGCAGTCGGCTAGGAGTTCACATCGTGTATAACTGTTTAAGTACCTATACTATATACCTATAATCGCGATTAAGTACCTCTCCTATCTCTCTTATAATAATTCCTTTTTTATTTTCACGCAGCTCACCCGCCAGCTCTCGCTTATCGAATTATAAATCTCAAAAAATTTACATTTGGCAACATCGCAAATATAAAATTTTAAATCGCTGGTCCATTTAATCTACATAACCAACATTTTGTTACTATATCATATCATAGGTGTTATTCGTTCTTCCATTAATGTTCTTGTTTCGTATGAGATCCACTATTGTTTTTCTTTTCCATTAATGTCACTTCTCTCCCAGTTTTCAGTAATGTTTCTGTTAAAGTATCATTGATGTCGTCAATTTATTTACTGACGCGTTCATTTTTATCGGACATCATATTCTTTCAGCCTATATTATTAAAAATGTTGAGCTATATATTATGTTTTAGATGCTAAAGCTGGTGACGTTGGGTTGGCAATAACTCAAGCTATGTTGCTTACGGGTCTTCTACAGTACGTTATTAGGCAATACACAGAAATAGAAAATAATATGACCGGTATAGAAAGAGTTTTGGAATATACTGACATTGAATCTGAAGATAAATTGCAAGGACGTACATTGACAAATTGGCCATCGTTTGGAGAAATAAAGTACGAAAACGTGTCTTTAGTTTACAACACATCGGAACAAAAAGTATTAAAAAATATTAGGTAAGTGACTTCGTAGTAAAGATTTGAGTTTCTTCTTATTATGCCATTTTATTCCTTAATAAAATGGATCTAAAAGTTAAAAACAACTTGTGTACCCGATTTGAACGTAATAAACGCCTAAAAATAGTTAAATAAATGAAACATTAAACATTCTACGTCTTGTAATACTATTACTATAAAACTTCTAATACTATTTTTAAATCACTGAAAACATTGTTATTTTGTCTGTTCACTGCATATTTTTCATTCTGTTAGGAGGTTTTTAACACGTTCAGTGCCGGCAATTATGTTAAATGTTTGCCAGCGGCCGAAACATAAATCAACGCCATATTTGAACATATGGTTTTTTTATATATTTTGTTGACACCAGCTTATCATTAATACACTGATAAGGTATTTGGAGCCAAAAAAAAGTTCGTGTAACCTTCTGGCTAAGGTCTATTGTTAGACTTTTCAGGTCGCGCAAGTGCCCCTAACATGACTTAACGACTACTTTTGTAGACGGGACCGACGGCTTTACGTGCCCTTCGAAGCACGGTAGCAGCTCAGCTAAATTAGAAATTGAAATTTTTGTCGGTGCCGGGATTCGAACCCGGGCCCTCCAGCTTGTTAAACCAGTAACATAGCCACTGAGCTACGGCTACCACTTATTTGGAGCAGTGACACATACTGTGTATCGTCGGCCGTTCGCATAAAAATTTACATGAAGGGCCGATGACACACAGCGTATGTCAGGCATATTTCATAAACTAAAATACTAATCGAATAAAACAGAAACATAATTGGACAGAAAATATATTAAAAACAGCGATATCTCTTGTGACGGACAAATACAAAATAAAATAAGTTACAAAATATAAAAAAATGTCTTGTGGAGTGGATTTATATATTCTTATGGTAATTCTTGGAGCAAATCTGCAAACACAGACCTGGTTTCTCGTCGCATGGCGAACAGTAGTATTGGGTACTCTTCCGAACCTGCTGTTTGCTACATAACCTACATCTTTTCCTATGAGTTCTGTCCAATTTACTTGGCAAATACATTGTATCAACTTTGGGTTTAGGAGGTAATACTTTTTCTGAGAGCAGTGTTCTTATTACCTGTAAACGATAGTCATATTTGTTCTGCAGTAGCTTTTTTGAGTACGAGGTAGCTGTTGAAAAACATAATAAAAAGAATATGGATTCCAAGTTTTTTGTAACATTGCCATTTGTAACATATGGAGATGTCACGCACAGGGAAAACGCAGACGAAATTGTCGAAAACCCGCAGAATGTATACTTGCGTATATCTTGCAAGGCCCCTTTCAAAACAGAGTTAATAACAGCTATTAAATATCTGAGAAATAATAATAATAAGTCTCAGTAAATCGATAACATTGCTGTTTAAATACCTAAAACTGATCCGTGAAAATACTTTACTTTTTAAGAAAAGAGGTCAGGAATTTGGGTTCATAGCTGACTCCTGAGATGTTCCGTTTTTCTAAATTATTTTTGTTGAAATGGTGAATGATGGTGGTGAAATATCCATTTCCTTTGGTCTCTGCATATAAATTGTGCTTGCCTATGGTAAACATTATGTTATTTTTTTCTCTGCCTATTTTGGCATTAGGGTCTTATAGAATAATCTTCAATCATACTTGGGTATAGCCTCGTATACTTCATCAAATTTCAGATCAGATTGCTCCTTCAGCTATATTTCCTTTTCCTCCGAGGATGTATGTATAATCACAAAGGTTGCGTTTTGGCATTTACCTTTTAGTCTGAGCCTGCACAACCTATCCAATATTGCTTTAGAGTCTGAAATAATATCTTTTAGTTTTGGTCCTCTCAGAGGTTTCGCTCAAGCCTTTTTTGCCAACAAATCTGCTCGTTCATTCTCATGCACCCCTGCATAACGCAGCACCCATATTATAAAAGATAAAGATCGTTTGCGGTTGTTGTGGAGATCTTTGTAGTTCCTCACCACTTTGATTTGGATAGTTGGTCCTTTACTGCCAGAATAGCCACTTTGGCTATTTGTATAAATATTGATTCTCTTTGCTTATGAATCTTTAATTTTGTAACGAGAATATTTTGCCTACCACAGGGGCATTAATATGAAGGGCAGAAAATTGGGGGAGAAACTATTGGGGGTGAAGATAGGGCAAGCAAAATATACGTTACTTGTGCGAACGGACACTCAGGGTTTCGTAGGAGAGCTGGGGTCGTGGATAAGTAAAAGATAAGGGCATTGGAATGGGGCAACTACAAAAAAAATGAAATAAAGGGCTCTTGGGATAAACAAAATAAAAATTAAACAAGAAACACCTCAAGGAATTTAATATAGGGCGCCACTTGAGGTGCCTAATTATGCCTATTACAACCACTAGTTGTAACTAGGGAAATAATTAGAAAATAAAATCAAAACATATCTTTTTCAAATAAACTCAAAAAGGGTTAGCTTAAAAAAAATAAATAAAAAGTTAAGAAAATAAAATTTAACCTTTAATTATGTGTACCACAAACAGTTACAAATACAAATAATACTAACAAAATACAAAAAAAAACGACTTACAATGGCGCTTTCGGTTTACAACTCTGGGCGTTGGGGACCCTATTTGCGCGACATTTTGTAGCGGTAACTATTTAAATATTTATTATCATATTTACTTTAAAAAATGTTTACAAAAAAAAGAGTACCTGATATCACTGAATATTATATCTCCTTTAAAAGTTTTGGGGCTGGAACTTTACTCAAAAACACTGCAAAACAAACAAATGCTTCTCACAAGCTGCAAAATGGTCTGGAATGACCAGGGACAACAAATATACGATGAAAGCTGGGCACTGGACCATCGGACTTCGGGTTAATTAAACTGCAATCTTCAAAGCTTGGCTTTTCAAAACTTCTCAAAACACAAAGCTCTTCAAAACACAGCACGACCCAAATCGGTGATTAACTCAGACAAAAACTGACACATTACATTTGAGTATAATATTCACTTCTCCACATATAAATTTGCCGGTTCCTTGAAGAATACCACCCAAGCACCTTTCCGTCAATATCATAAACCAACCTCAAATTGTAACTACACATGCTACCAAACTTCAATACTTCTGATGAAAAAAACTAATAACAAAAAAAACATTACGAATTTGATGAAAATTCGGACTAAACAAACGAAACCAACTGCCCTTGACAGCGGCTCCACCGATAGTGACGAAATTAAAAATTTGTTCGCTTAACTCGAAAATCAACGAACTGCTGATATAGCAAAACCAACGAACGACGTAGATATCCTTTGAGACGCATTTACATGAAAAGAAATCGCCGCAGTAAAATAAACAACAATTAAATGGATTTATTACTCTACGACGTTAGAATGATTGAAAACACTTTTCGAAAGATACGAACTAAAAAACAGAAAACATTCTTCGTTTTATTAAGACGATTTCATATACGAGGCGACTTTAAATATACTTCAAAGAATCAATCAAATTTAAAATGCTACAATACCCCCACGTAAGAGCGAAAACTGGACTAACAGGAAAAGTTTTCGTTTAGGGCGAACAACAATCAGGTTGGAACAACAGTAGCATTTTTTAACTACTGCAACAACACATAATGACTTCAATAACTCAAACAGAACAAAAAACAACAAACAAAAATCATAACCAAAACTACACATCATAACTGTTTATGGTACTAACACAGTAACATACAAAATAAAACTGGATGCTCGATTTGACGAATCGGCACCAGGTACAGTTCGTTGGCTCTTAAGCACAACGACACAATGGCAGATTTCTACTAAAATGGCTCTAGCCTAACCAAAAACGTGGAACAGACCAGTGTTGAAGTTTCTGGGAGCGAAAAGAGGGGTGCTTCCAGCTCAACAAAGGCGGGTGGCCAACAACACAGCTTAGACAAGCTTCGCTATGGTTATCCACTAGATAGATAACCAAAACAATATCAAAAAATAACAAACTCGACTATAACAGTCAAGCAATTGATTTTCAACCACTGTGGTTGAAAATCAAACACAAACAGAAGAAAACAGGATGGCCAATAGTTCTATAGAAATATCCTCTGGGATCGACACAGCGAAAAATTTCCAAGTCAGGAAACTCCCAAAAGGACCAAAGAAGAACATAAGTCCAAAACGTTAATACACAATCTTGGAAAAGAAAAAAGAACAGGGGCACATGGCATAAAAGCCATAATTAATACACAATCAGTTCAGTCTCAAACTAAATACTGCCAAAAGAAAACAAAAAAAAATCGTAACAGTCTTTCAAAGAAAACAAGAAGTTACGACAACACTCCAAAACAAACAAAAACATCATTACAGATCTCCAAGGGGACATGAGAATCACCATAATCTTCCAAAAGAACAAAAAAATCATTACAGTCCGTCATCAACAATAAAACTTCCAACTGGGTACACAAATCTCAAAAGCAGGGCAAGAAGGGTAAAGAAGAAGAGGAGTATATATATATACACAAGGCAAAAACTAATGCTTATCTTCCTTAAAAGCTCAACAGGTCACCTGGCGGACGAATCCAAAACTCATCGACCTAGCCGTTCCTCTTATGACAACTAATAAGGTCAAAGACACAGTTTGGGAAGGGAATAAAGGGACAACATCAAGAAATAAACTTCATCTTTTCACGGATAATAATCAGATACAAATCATCGTCATACAAATCACAAAGAAACGTTCACTATTCTTCAACAAAACTCGAACAGGATCATAACAATAAAACTGGGGAATTCTAAGTGGGTCATTCAACGGTAGTACTAAAAAAACTTCAGATGTTTTACTAACATGGTCTCACAATCGACATAAACAATATTTTCACAATAAACGGCGGCCAGGTACTTTCACCTCAGCAAATCAAAACGTCACAATGGACAATGCAAGTATTTGTACCTCCGCTTCTGCCAAATCATAAACACTCATCACAAACTCTACAACAAGAAGGAATGCTATTGAGACTCTATCGCCGCCAATAGTCTTACTTCAACACTTAGAAAGGCTTATCCTTTCTAATAATTCACGGAAAGGGGATGCTGCTACGCAGTCTTACACAACAACAGAAATATCCAAGGAAACACAAATCCAGGTCACATGCCTGTACGTCCTACATGATATTTCAACAATACAATACTCAAATCACCAACTAATACATTTTAGACCATCAACATATCTCCACTACATCTGACCACACAAAGACACGGAAAGACACTAAACTAACAGACAGAAAAAAACATCAGAATACTTTCGCTATGTATTCTCAACAAATCGGCCTTAGCCAGGAATACACGAAGTCGTATCATCACTCTCTTCCACGTGTACACAAAAAAGAACTAGGGAGAAACACAAGACTAACAGACAAAAGAAAAATAACAATACTCCGCTTTGTCACTAACAAATCGGCCTTAGCCAAGGACAAACGGAATCGTATCATCATTTCCTCCTACTTATAACAGAGAATAGGAACAAAGAAAACACGGGGAAACACGGAAATAACAAACATAAGGCAAATAACAATACTTCGCTTTGTCACTAACAAATCGGCCTTAGCCATGGACAAACGAAATCGTATTATTACTTCCTCCTACTTATAACACAAAAGACAACACGAGAACACACGGACTGATCATGGACTGTAAAATCAGAAACAAATTCTTTTTCGGGGCTTAAAAAAATTTCACACATTGTCTGGACTATAAAAATTTAAAAATACGAAAAAATTGACCTATATTTTTCGTACAACAGCTGATTTCTGAAACGCAATAATTGTTCAGACTCAATAAGACGAAATAGATAACTTATAAACACTTAAAGAAAGGACAGCGTCTACATACGAAATAAATTATTTCGTTAACGTAAACAAAATTCTTTTCTCAGACATGGGATGGTACTTAAGACGAACAAGAATAAACAAACTTGATATCGTTCACATTTTAAATACCGGCAAATAATGACATCATTCCAAATACGTATTTCTTTATTCACAAGGAAATAGACGAAAATTATTTCTACATAATTTTACGAAAACTGGACATAACAGAAAATGGAAATCGTAGCAGTTAACTTGGGACAGGAATAGACTTGATTTAACGAAAAACTGGATAAAAAGCAAATCACAATATAACTGTTAATACCGTTCGAAGCAAACTTAGACAAACTTCACATACAGGGCGGGACAAAAATACTAAAACAATGATTGGGTGAAAGCAAATACACAACGTATACAAAACAACATACTCGATAAACTTCACTAACAGGGTGATACAAAAATACTAACAATATTGAAAACTTGACTTTTCAATGAGCTTCACAAAATAACAGAAAATAAAAAACCTTGCTCTTGTTCTGAAAACTTAATGAGACTGCTCCTAGGCAAAACTAAACAGCACCTCCGATCACGAGTATAACACTTGTCATCATTCAGATACAAGACAGGAAACATAAAAGGGGACTCAGGGGAATACAATCTCCTATTTAACCCGTGGCATAACACAAACGCCGTCAAAGAGGGTTAATTAGGGAACAACAGGGGATACAAGGGACTACTCTTCACATTCACTATCTCCTACTAGCCCGTGGCATAACACAAACGCCGTCAGAGTGGGCCTAGAGGAAACAATGAAATGGCATAGGACAAACGACAAAACAACAACTGTACTCATCAGCTCAAAGAAAAGTCACTCAAACAATAAACACATTTACTCAAAATGACCAGACAAAACAAAATTACAAAAACCGATTTTTCTGTAAGAAATGTCGAATCAATCAAAAATAAATGGCACAATAACGGTACATTTAATTTGTTACTGTAAATAACTTAAAATTCAATATTCAATCTCAAAATATTTGCTTTCATTTACCAATACATAAAATACATATAGAAAAATTTCTACAGTACACGAAATAAAACAAACAACATTACATATGTCAATATACAACAAAAACATCTGTTGATATACAATAATACATATGTTAATACAAATACCATACAAAGAAAAAACAACAATACATATGTTGATACAAATACATAAACAAATACAAATACATAAACAAACTGTTTGTGGGACACCGGGGCACTACCTGGAAGACAGGGTTTCATAAAAATGGCTGAAAACTAGGGACGAACTGAAAAAGATATGTGGCTTGGAAAAAGGGACAAAAATCTAAAGAACGCCAGCCACGTTGGGGGCCATTTTTGTAACGAGAATATTTTGCCTACCACAGGGGCATTAATATGAAGGGCAGAAAATTGGGGGAGAAACTATTGGGGGTGAAGATAGGGCAAGCAAAATATACGTTACTTGTGCGAACGGACACTCAGGGTTTCGTAGGAGAGCTGGGGTCGTGGATAAGTAAAAGATAAGGGCATTGGAATGGGGCAACTACAAAAAAATGAAATAAAGGGCTCTTGGGATAAACAAAATAAAAATTAAACAAGAAACACCTCAAGGAATTTAATATAGGGCGCCACTTGAGGTGCCTAATTATGCCTATTACAACCACTAGTTGTAACTAGGGAAATAATTAGAAAATAAAATCAAAACATATCTTTTTCAAATAAACTCAAAAAGGGTTAGCTTAAAAAAAATAAATAAAAAGTTAAGAAAATAAAATTTAACCTTTAATTATGTGTACCACAAACAGTTACAAATACAAATAATACTAACAAAATACAAAAAAAAAAACGACTTACAATGGCGCTTTCGGTTTACAACTCTGGGCGTTGGGGACCCTATTTGCGCGACATTTTGTAGCGGTAACTATTTAAATATTTATTATCATATTTACTTTAAAAAAATGTTTACAAAAAAAAGAGTACCTGATATCACTGAATATTATATCTCCTTTAAAAGTTTTGGGGCTGGAACTTTACTCAAAAACACTGCAAAACAAACAAATGCTTCTCACAAGCTGCAAAATGGTCTGGAATGACCAGGGAGAACAAATATACGATGAAAGCTGGGCACTGGACCATCGGACTTCGGGTTAATTAAACTGCAATCTTCAAAGCTTGGCTTTTCAAAACTTCTCAAAACACAAAGCTCTTCAAAACACAGCACGACCCAAATCGGTGATTAACTCAGACAAAAACTGACACATTACATTTGAGTATAATATTCACTTCTCCACATATAAATTTGCCGGTTCCTTGAAGAATACCACCCAAGCACCTTTCCGTCAATATCATAAACCAACCTCAAATTGTAATTACACATGCTACCAAACTTCAATACTTCTGATGAAAAAAACTAATAACAAAAAAAACATTACGAATTTGATGAAAATTCGGACTAAACAAACGAAACCAACTGCCCTTGACAGCGGCTCCACCGATAGTGACGAAATTAAAAATTTGTTCGCTTAACTCGAAAATCAACGAACTGCTGATATAGCAAAACCAACGAACGACGTAGATATCCTTTGAGACGCATTTACATGAAAAGAAATCGCCGCAGTAAAATAAACAACAATTAAATGGATTTATTACTCTACGACGTTAGAATGATTGAAAACACTTTTCGAAAGATACGAACTAAAAAACAGAAAACATTCTTCGTTTTATTAAGACGATTTCATATACGAGGCGACTTTAAATATACTTCAAAGAATCAATCAAATTTAAAATGCTACAATTTTATTTTAAAGTAAGTTTATTTTAATGTTTCTATTTCTCATTCGTAAATTTCTGAATTTCTAAAAAGAACGATTCCCGAAATGGAAATCTAAACGTCAAATAACCTTATTTTACTGTCAACTTGTGGCTTATTCGCCGTTAAAATACGAGTAGTAAATTATAATCTGGTAAAATTGAATTAAGATTCCTATTATATTAACAGGCATTTTTCTATGTTACATTATAGTATAAATTAAGCATATTTTTCTACTGCTTCTGTGCATATACTTAAAGAAAACAGGGTTAAAAACTTTTAAAAATTCCATAAATATCGAAAATGCTATTATTTAAAAATAAAGAAAAATAAATAACCATACTTATATTTTACAGTTTTACTATTAAAAGCAAAGAAAAAATTGGAATCGTTGGACGTACAGGGGCTGGAAAATCTTCTATTATTTCAGTATTGTTCAGGCTTTATAATATCGAGGGTCGTATTTTAATAGACAATGAAGATATTAAGAATTTATGTTTGAAATATTTACGATCCAGCATAGGTATTATTCCACAAGATCCTATATTATTTTCAGGTAAGTCAATAATTGTGTCTTGTTTTAGTATCATCAGAATGCCATACGAATGGCTGGATACTTTCAAAAGCATTTAAGGTCTAGTACAGATTAGAAGGCTTAAAATACATATTTTAAAAAGCTTTTTGTTACCTCCCTTAGTAGAGGAAAAGGTACCAATATGGTCTTCCATTTTGTTTATTGTTGATATCTTACTATTTTTTGATCGAAAAAGTTCAAATTTCATAATCGGCATGTACATACTGCACTGATATTGCTTACTTCTAGTGTTTTGCTGGCTTCTGGTGTGTTTGGTAGGATAGCAGGTTTAATAGCTTGTGGTTCTACATGGCTGTAGTTGTTACTCTCAATTTCTGCTGCAATAAAATCTGCATCTGAGACCACAGTCTTATTCAATGGATAAATTCCAGTGGCGCGGAATCAATTTACAGCAATTTTTCCAGTTTAGCTTTCAAGGTATGCTTTGCCAAAAATTTCTTTAATAACGTACTAAGAGAAGTCGTAGTTATGACGTAACCATTGCCTGATTTTTCCGCTATAGTACGCCTTAAGCGTTTCCATGAAAGTTTTGTCTAGCGGTTGCAGTTTATGTCTTGAATGTAGAGGTAATGCAATTATAACTATGTTATTCCCCCTTGCCAGATTGATCACATCTAAATTGCGAGTATGGTTGTAGTGTCTATCCAATATATGAAGTACTGGAAACTCTTTAGAGGGTTTAACGGTATCTATAAAGTGTTTAAACTACTATGTAAATAAATTAGACTGCACCCAACCACTAGGACGAACGGCTGATATTGATCCAGGAGGAGTACCTTTCATAAGTTCCACATTCTATTTTTTCTTGAGAAGATTAACTTGGGTGGGATAAAATTTTCTCCAGCACTCATACATGCAATTAAAGTGATCAATGATCCTCTCTCAGCCGAAGTCAGCGGTGCGATTTGTCTCTTTCCTTTGCGACCCACTATTGCTGCAATTGTATTATGCACAATAATAAGGCCCGTTTCATCTACGTTGTAAACCTGATAACTGAAAAAATTGTATTTATCTTTTGAATTACGCTTTTTGAACTTAAGCTAGCTAGCTGCCCGTCCAAAAGACGTTCCAGTTGGTCTCCTTAAAGCCAATGTATTTTTATGAGGCGCCAAGAACAAATCTAGCCCACCTCTATCAGTTTTTTTTTTAACTACATAAAGCGATGATTGAATCCATTTGATTCAGCCAGATTAAATGCCATTCGTTTGATACCAGTCCGAGTTGACATAAAATTGCACTTCCATTTGAAGCATATAGTTTTTATATGCTTCAAATTTAGTTTTTACCAAACATTTAGCTAAATCTGGGCCAAGAATAGTTCCTCTTCCCAGTTTCTTAAGTACTGGTTCATATGGAATCAGTTCAGTCATGTTCAGTTCGCTAACCGTTGTACTGTCGATCTCTGGACATTATAAGTTTTAGCTGCTTTTAATGTATCCATCGTTTATTATCTCACAGCTTGAATAGCAGATTTCATGCTATCTGGATCCCAGGACTTTTTTTTACTTACAATACTTTTTCTATGCATTGTGAAAAGAAAAAAAATCTTGTAGACAAAACTGATATAAATATGGGCCAGCTCATATTTGTAGCACAGCACAAATATGGGCTAGCTCATATTTATAGCACTACGCTACGAGACATAAAAACAACGGTTACAAGATGGAAGAATATGTGTAGCAACGGGAAAGACCAAATTATAAGAAACAGACTGAGATTGGGACATAAACGCTTAACAGACGAATATCATATTACTGGAAGTGTTCATCCAATGTGCGGTAAGTGTTTTAACAGTTTGAGTGTCCAACATTTCTAAATCGAATGCCCTGCATATTCAAATGAGAGACAAAAGTTTAACCTACCGACAATGCTATGCGAGTGTTTAGAAGAAAGCTGTACCAATTCGTTTGTTTTAAGTTTTGTAAAATCAATAGAAATATATAACTAAATTTAAACATCAGTGCGTGTACTAATAAATGTGTAATCTTCTAATCTATGTATGTCAAAATCTGTATAAGTATATTATGTATCCAAAACTGTAAAAAAATTATAATACCAAGCGGCGCTAATAACCACTTAGGTTGATGCGCCTTAATTTTAATTAAAAAATAGAAAATATTCTTGATTCTTTTGATATTAAACGGAAACTTTACTAAACGTGTCGTGTGCTCCAAAACAAATATTAATGAATTAATAATAAAAAGCCTGCAAAAATATTGTTTCTACTTTTATTAAATTTATTTATTTCATATATTTATTTCCTACTTACTGTATTAGATAAACGTGCTAAAATAGATAACCTACCAAAAACGGTTACCGCAGTTAAACCGCAGGTTAAAAAATGACTTACCGCAGTTCTTTCGCAATATTCCTTTTCCATTTTCGTTTTTGTTGAATTCTCTTACGAGCTCTTGTTAACGTAGCTGGAATAGCGTCAGTCTCCATTTTTAATTTTATATGTACTAATTCTTCTAACAAAATCTTAATAACACTTCAAGTCAAAGGCGCTGCAATTTTGTTAAAGGCTGAAGCTTGTAAGTAATACGCTGTGATCTGTCAGAACCATCGAGCAAAAAGACAAAAGAGGGATTGTAAAGGTAGTGGGGGCAAACATATTGTTAGACAGGAAGTGCGATCTTTAGAGGCCACATTAAACAAGGAAAGAGAGTCTCTCTCCTTGTTTGACATCAAATTTAGTTGGGTTATGTTATTGTTTGTCCCAACTGTCACATGAAATCTTATTTGTATTGAAGTTTTTTATTAATTGTGTCGCATTTTAGACTATTACCGTTAATAATTAATTAAAACTTGCTCGTCTAAGACACATTCTGAAAAATATTATATAGCTACTGTTAATAAGTGTCGGAAAATTTAAATTTGGCGCATTCGCATTTCCGGATATGTCCGCCATCAGAGGCCACTTTTTTGGTCTCCTTTTCATAAGGATTAGATTCCCTATTTTGTCTTTTTGCTCGATGGTCAGAACGCAGATTGCCGCTGTTGCCATTCGCGGACCGATGGAGATTGCTGTTTTTGCTACTAACTTTATTTTTTGACGTTAAATATGCACAAGATATTGAGGGTTTTTCTACACAATATTTTGTGAAATTGTAGAGATGAACACAGAGATATAGATGGCAGCAATCACTCAATTTGGTGAGAAGATGAAGATTGCTGGTTTTGCTTCTATATCCATCAATTGTCTTGTAACGACATTTTCTTTAAGTAATTCAGTTGAAATTTTTTGTGTCAGATGTGCCAATCCTGAGAATTAGTGTTCGTCATCAAACACCTTTTTCGAGGATTCAACTGTTGAGCGTAAAATGCTCTCTAGCGCGCTCTTTTTGGTCCTCCTCCTCTATTCTTTATCCTTCGTAAGGATGTAGAGAATTTATGGTATTTGACGACCATTTGACTTCAACCACCAACCTCTTCATGCCTTCCGTTCGTCTGGTAATGTGTCCAAAGTACCTCAATATATTTTGGTTGATTATTGTGGTAAGCCTAAGCAAAAAAGTGCCCTAAACACTTACTAACTCATTTGCCCAAAGCCGTTGGTCCGTAAGTGGGGGACTGCTTATACCGGCAATCACTTGGTGAAGTTTTCGCCATATCTGGCTACCCTAACTTAGTTTAGCCTGCAGACCAATGCAGTTGTCCGGGGTGTGGCACGTGGAGTCATAAGTGAGAGTTAGGTGTCTTATGAGGAGCAGTTATCAAGAACCATTTCCCGTCTATGATGCTCGATGTGGTCGTTCCAATAAAAGGTACTACCTCTATATTACAGCCCTACACCCCAGCTCTTTTTAGTACGTGGGAACTAAAAAAATATATTGTTTTGTTTAAATCAAAGCTAAAATATTATTTAAAAATCATGTTTGATTCTAATATTTCATCTTCGTATTTAATAAAGGTGCTGAGATTTTGTTTTAAATATATATTCTTTTAGCTTTCTAATCTGTACTTATACCTTAAAGTAACTAATTTTAATTATGGCGATTTTAACAAAGTAGGTGGTGCAATACTAAATTATATTTTTTAGTTAATAAGTACTTATATTCTTTGGGAAACTACCTAGAAACCGGTAATAGTTTAGGATTTTCATTTGCCAAACAAATGAGATAGAGACAATTTATTTATTTTGGAACATTTTTCTTGTTTATTCGTAATGAGTTTTCTGATATTTCCACAACTGTCATTATCTAACAGGGTGTGGAATAGCTACAATGTCTATTAAGCTACTCAATCCATCCAACAGCACCTTAAAAGTACTTTCAATAGACTATAAATAAATAAACTGTAAAATGCATGTCACTTTTATCGTTTTACTTAATTACTATTATTCTAGGTTCGATTAGAGCAAATATGGATCCATCAGGAACCCATAAGGATGAAGAAATTTGGTCCGCAATAGAGAAAGTCCATTTAAAAAATCTGTTTACCAGTTTGGATGATGTTATTGTTGAAAATGGTTCACGTTATAGGTAAGCAATATAAATAAACGTTTTTACTTCAATAATAATATGATATTTTACTAAAAGGAAAAAGTATAAGGTAATCTAGGCCTAGAGAGGCGAACGATTTCCTGGAAGAAGGATTTAAGTGCAGGGTTCAACACAACAACCTCAAATATTTTTAGAGAAGCAGTGTATAAAGTACATATTGCTATGATCTTCACCAAAATCCGAAACGGATAAGCACTACAAGAAAAAACAGTAACAGTGGCTTAAATTCTGTTTGACTTTTTGGAAGTAGATCACTATTGTATTGTTTTTTTTACATCGTAAGAAACAAAATTTGTCCTTATTTTATAATATAACCTTACTTAATGTGTCCCTTGCTAGACGCCTATAGAAGCTTCACCCTGTAGCAGCCTGTATGTCGTAGACCTGACTTTATTTAACATATTTGCAAAGGACATAAGTTCAGTAAAACTTTCAGTGTCTGGCGACTATGGCACTTACGTATGTAAGAGTTTTAATTTCACCAAGTATTGTTACACTAATCCAGTGTATAAGTTATCATAAAGATGTTAACCTTGTGCATAACCATAGGTTCATTTTTGAGAGGAAACCTAAAGCTTTTTAAAGTCCATTTTTTAACCTTTTAACCTTTTTTATGTATGGTTTTGACGTCAGCTTATGATTAAATACTATCTCTAAGTATTTGCTATGACGCACAAATAATTTTCCTTTAAAAGTCGCCAGTAACTTTATCACTGGTAGAAATAATACTTGTAGTTCAATTCTTTGAGAAAAGTCAAAAAATCGTATGTGTTATTTAATTGCAAGGCAGTTGAAACCTTTCTTGGATAGCATCACTAATGGGTCACTAATAAGTCAACGACAAGTGGAAATAGTACTCACCTCATTAGTCGTTTCGTCTAATAAGAATATAATACTACTTTTGTTGGATCCTTCTATATCCAGTGAGAGATAAAATTGGGGATCGTTTTATTACAAATATTTCTATTATAGACTAAAAGGAGGCATCCCATATTTTTCTAGAAAGAAGGATAGTTTTAGTCTGTATAACTTGGATGTTTAGTACTTAGACTTTAGTATGTAGGTAAATCTTACTTTGCGATTCGAATCGTTACAGTTACATTCTGTTTCTTTTATAGAAAATTAAAAAACTGGCATGGATCTTAAATAAAATATATGAATGATATTTTCAATAGCCTTTGTAAGTTTGCAACCATAAGGCTTTGCAACTTTCACAGACAAATATCAGTCTGCCATAGAAGGCATTTTGAACCGAACACGATTTAAAGAATATTGGTCAATATGGGTTCACGAACCCATAAAGTTGTTTGTCTTTATCAATGTTATTTAGTTTTCTTAAACTAAACTTGTCAGTTTTCCTCTATAAATAGTATACCTTTGTACTGCAATATTAGCGCGATCCGATAAGTGCTTACCCTACAAAATAAAAACGAAAATTTCGGAAAAATGGGGATTTATTTCTTAACATATTTTGCTTTTAGCTTAATACACTTGACCCAGCGATGCTCCAACTTCTTTAACCCGTCTCAAAATTATGTCTTCTCGAGGTCTGCAAAACAGTGACCATGGCGACTGCGGAGTTATGAGCCAATACGATGTCTTTTTTTCGCCAAATGGAGCCGTTATTTCTGCAATTCGGAGTCACATCTGTCCAAAATTTCGTCATGATAGAGCCCTGTAACCATTTTCCCTTCTCCAGATAGTCGAAGTTGATCATACCTTGTGAATCCCAGAAAACGGCGGTTACCACTTTTCCGGCCGACAATACAGTCTTCGTTTCTTCGGAGCACGTTTGCCAGGTGACGTTCACTGTTGCGACTGTTCCTTTGTCTCTGTGTAGATGGTTACGAAATTATGTAGAAACTCCTTTAGATTACGCTTAAATATCTAAAAACATTACTCTGAAGTAGTCTCACGGTTGTGCTTGTTATTTAGAGTAAGCAAACGCGGCGACAGCTTTCTAATGTCAAAAATTTCATGCCGAAAATGACACACGCAATCTGTTGAAATGCCTACTATCTTAGTTATCTCGAGCACGTTCAGTTGGTAGTCTGCCAATACGAGAAAGTGAATTTTTGTCACGTTATTCTCTGTGGTAGCTAGTTTCGAGGCACCTAAGCGTGGTTCATCAAAACCGACTTGCGATCACGTTGAAACTCGTTAAACGAAGTTTTAATAGTTGTCTTCTTCTTGTAGTTCCTTCTCCGATCGGAGGTTGGCTATCATCACAGCTATCCATACCTTATTGGCGGCTGCTCTAAAAAGTTCTACTGAGCTGCAACTATACCACTCTCTTATGTTTCTTAGCCAGGAAATTCTTCGTCTTCCTATGGATCTTTTACCCTTGATTTTACCTTGCATTATGAGCCATAATATCTCATATATTAATCTTATATAATATTTTTCCGTTTATTGGTATACCCTCTTATTCCTATGATATTGCTTTTTCCTTAAAAATAGCTTCGCTGTACAGATTGAATAACAATGGGGACAGCACGCAACCTTGTCTAACATCTCTTTTGATTTCTATTGTTTCTGTATCGTCATTTTCAAATCTAACCTTTGCTTTTTGATTCCAGTACAGATTGACAATAACCCGTATATCTCGACTATCCATAGACTAGTACTGTTCTAAAGCAGCGATATGCATTTGATAAATTCTTACGTACAGTGGGTGATTAAGCTATTAGAATCACTTCCAAGAACTTTGTATTTTGCTGTTTAATAAAGAATAACAGGAAAAACAGGAAACAAGCGCCACAACAATGTAATTGGACCTTATAGAGAAGACGTCGTAAATGATAACGGAGAAAGACTTATCAATCTATGTGAAAGTAATAGACTCAAAATAACTAACGGATGTTACTGTCACAAAAACATACACAAATATACATGGTTTCAACCAACAAGGAATCCTAAGTCTATAATAGATTACGTGATAGTTAAACAAAATTCACAAATACTCATTAGAAATATTAGAGCTATGAGAGGAGCAGTATGCAGATCAGATCACCACATGGTCAGGGCAAAAATTGTTTTCCCATATAGATTAAAAGACAGTGTCTCATCAAGCCAAGACGAACAACTTTTAGAAAGAATTGATCTTTCTCAATACAATCTGTCCAGTTTAATTCATGAGAGCACCCGTACACTATATAAGACTCGAATGGACTCCAAACTTGACGACACACTAAGAAATACCAAATGCATATATGAGAACATGAATAATATCAAGTATTCATCAAACAGTCAGGTCTTAGGAATCAAACAAAATAAAATTAGTAACAAGCTTTGGTGGAATGAAGACGTCGAAAATGCGGTAACAGAAAAGAAAAGATTATACCATAAGTGGTTGAATACAAAAGATGACGCAGACAAAGACCGATCCAATGAAATCAAGAAGAAAACTAGAAAGATAATTATGACCTCCAAAAATAAGACATGGGACAGAAGGTGCAGAGAGATAGAATCTTATATTGGGGGACGACAATGCACTGAGGCGTGGAAGTTTATAAACTCTGTTAAGAAGCCGACTAACGAGAAAGTGATTCTAAATCCCATAAATCCGAGGATTGGACACATTATAACAAACATCTATTAAATGAGAATAAAGACGAATTTAAAGAAGATATGAATTCATCAAGAATCGAAATTCTGGGAGAGCATATTACCATAGATATCAACATAGTTTAAAAAGCTATAGCAGGGATGAAGAATGGGAAAGCAAGTGGTTCAGAGGGAGTAACTACGGAATTAATAACGAATGGCTCAGAGAAATTACACAGAATGATCACGGTGTTATTTAACGAATATATTAATGGACATCCAACACCAGATGAATGGAAAACAGCATATATGACCCCAATATATAAAAAAGGTGACAGGAGAAATTGTAAAAACTATAGAGGGATATCGGTAAAAAGTTCAATGAGTCGACTATATGCTCGAATACTACGGGACCTGATAGAGGAAGATTATCAATCGTCTGAAGACGAAGAACAAGGAGGATTTAGAGCAGATCGTTCATGTACAGATAACATCTTCTGTCTTAAACAAATTATAGAAAAGAAAGTTGTGACAAATAGAGAGTTACATATGACTTTTGTAGATCTTGAGAAGGCATATGACACAGTCCCGCTAAATAAACTATGGGAAGTCCTGGGCACATCAAACATACATCAAATATTGGTTAGTGCTCTCAAAGATCTATATTATGGTTCAAATTCCCAAATGAAATTCGGAAACCTCTTAGCTGAAAAATATGCAGTTACTAAGGGTCCCAGACAAGGATGTTGTATCTCTCCGACTCTGTTTAAGATTTATATCTCTGCAGCTCTGAAACAATGAAAAAGGAAAGTCAAAGGAATGGGTATACAATTGAACGATCAGGATTACATATATACTTTACAGTTTTCAGATGATCAGGTGGTGATCTCAAATAACAAAGACGACATGGAATACATGCTTAGAAAACTAATTGAAGAATACAGAAATGGGGATTTAATATCAATTTAGAAAAGACAAAATACCTCTCAATTGGAGCTGAAGCAGAGCAATTCGATATCGATGACAATCAAAAAATAAATCCATGTGACGAATATAAATACCTGGGCGTCATCTTCGACCGTAGTGGAAAAGACGAACGAGAAATAGAACATCGAATTGTACATACAAGCACGAAGAGCTACAGCATGTTTGAACGGAGTTCTATGGAGTAAAGAAATATCAAAGAAAGGAAAATGGAATATCTATGAGACAATGGTTAAAAGTAGCCTACTTTATGGAGCTGAGATATGGAGAATAACCGAGAAATATAAGAAAAAGGTCGAAGCCACGGAAATGGATGCCATCAGAAGATCGATGAGAATATCAAGAGCCGACAGAATATGGAATGAAGTGATAAAACAACAAATGGGTATAGAGGGCACTGCAATTGGGATATTGAGAGAAAACAGCTCATATGGTATGGGCATGTGAGCCGAATGGGGGAAGAAAGATTGCCTAAAAAAACGATGATGTGGCAACCCCCAGAAAACAGGAAACGAGGAAGACTACCACAGAGCTGGAACCTGGTTAGTTAAAAAGGCGATTAGCGCTTGAAATCTGGACAAAGACCTAACTCAAGACAGAATACGTTTGGGAGTCGGACAATATATATATATATATATATATATATATATATATATATATATATATATATATATATATCTATATATATATATATATATATATATATATATATATATATATACATATACATATATACAGGGTGGTCCTTAAGTAATTGTACAAAAAGAAACCGTAGATTCTACATTTTAAAATATTACGATTTAAGTCATGTTGCTTTAATAAAATGTTAATATTAAGAAAGATACAGGGTGTTAAAGTGAAAATTTAAAATTTTATTTTTTGCTATAACTTTTATGTTTGTTAACATTTATGTATAAAAATTTACAACTGAATAGTATTAAATATCAAAAATTTTAATTTAATGTATACTTTGATGTAGCTGGTAGAGGGCGCCACATATGCCACATATGTGGCATATATTTGCACTTAAATTTTTTGCTCTTCAAGATATGGGTATTTTTAATAAAAAATATTAAAAATTCATTATATTAACAAAAAAAGTTATACTTGTTAATATCTTCAAAACTCAACAGTTTTCGAGATAATCGCGTTTTATAAATCAATTACATAATTCTGATTTATCTCAATTACTCCAGACAACGATAGAAAATTAAAAAAAAACACTTCTGAATTTTGGTATAAAATACCTTTAATAAAGTTAATAGTTAACGAATTATTAAATAAAATAAATATATCAGCAGAATAAAATAAAAGGATTTGATAAATAACAGAATAATTGGATTTTACATCAAACATTTTACGTTTTGTATTAAATTAAAGTCATAATCAAAACATTTTATTTACAAACCAAATTAAAAAATAGTTAAACTAAATAACCTTGAACTTTTTGTCAAAATAAGTGTTCAATATGTCCCATATTTTCTTTAATTCATTTGTCAATACATTCCATAAAATATCGTCTCATATTAAATAGCATCATTGGTTCTAAAGAAACTGCTGCAGTATTTATTATAAGTGTTATAAGTATAATAATAAGTAATTTTTTGAATTTTTTATGAATTCAATAATTATATTAATATCTCACCACAAGAATATGACTACCACGAACAATCCAACGTTCAGGAAAGTTGTTTTTAAACACTGTCTCACTCCGCTTTCTCTGTAACGTGAGGGTGTACCATCTTGTAGAAACCATATATTTCGCCTTAAGTTTGATGACAATTCTTTGAATAAATCAATAAAATCATTTTATAAAAAATGTAAATAAATCTCGACATTCAAATTGCAAAGTAATTTGCATATCCGTAAAAAATAATTACCAATGGTTCCAAACCATTTCGCATTTTAAATATGAGTTTTGAATAATATTTTACGGATATGCGAATTACCTTGCAATTTGAATGGTTAGATTTATTTACATTTTTTATAACATGATTTTATTGATTTATTGGAAGAATTGTTATCAAACTTAAGGCTAAATATTTGGTTTATATAATATGGTACACCAATATATTACAGAGAAGGAGGAGTGAGAACAGTATTTAAAAACAACTTTCCTGAACGTTGGATTGTTCGTGATAATATAATTATTTAATTCATAAAAATCACAAAAGAATACCTATTATTATACTTATAATAAGTAGTGCAGCTGTTTCTTTAGTACCAATGAAGCTATTTAATATGAGACGATATTTTATGGAATGTATTGACAAATGAATTAAAGAAAATGGTGGACATATCGAACGCTTACTTTGACAAAAAGTTTAATGTTATTTAGTTTAACAATTTCTTAATTTGGATTATAAATAAAATGTTTTGATTATGACTTTAATTTAATACAAAACGTAAAATGTTTGATGTAAAATCCAATTATTCTGTTATTTTATCAAATTCTATTATTAATTATCCTGCTGATATATTTATTTTATTTAATATTTCGTTAAATATTAACTTTATTAAAGGTGTTTTATAACAAAATTCAAAAGTATTGATGTTTTTATCTATTTTTCTTCCATTGCCTGGAGTAATTGCGTTAAATCAGAATTATGCAGTTGATTTGTAAAATGCGATTATCTCGAAAACTGTTGAGTTTTGAAGTTATTAACAGGTATACCTTTTCTTTGTTAAATTAATTTATCTTTAATATTTTTTATCAAAAATACCGGTAACTTGAAGAATAAAAAAGTTAAGTGCAAATGTATGTCACGTATGTGGCATATGTGGCGCCCTCTATTAGCTATATCAAAGTATGCATCAAATTATAATTCCTGATACTGAATAGTACTCAGTTGTAAATTTTTATAGATAAACGTTTACAAACATGAAAGTTACAGCGAAAAATAAAATTTTAAATTTCCACTTTAACACCTTGTATCTTTTTTAATATCAACATTTTATTAAAGCAAGTTGACTTTAATCGTAATATTTTAAAGTGTGGAATCTGCGGTTTCTTTTTGTACAATTACTTAAGGACCACCCTGTATATATATATATATATATATATATATATATATATATATATATATATATATATATATATATATATATATATATATATATATATATATATATATATATATATATATATATATATATATATATATATATATATATATTTATATATTATATATATATATATATATATATATATATATATATATATATATATATATATATATATATATATATATATATATAAAGAATAAAACTGCATATAAGCGTCCAATGATGTGAATAAAATATAAAAATAGATCATAAACACGTTCTTTACAAAATTTTAAAATATTTTTTTCTTTGACCTTAAATAACATTTGTTTTTAATATTTTGTGTGACCTCCTTTAGCTTCGATGACAGCTTTGATCCTACTTGGCATGCTTTGAATTTTTGTCAGGCAGTCTTCTTTTATATTATCGTTTCTGTGCCAGATGGCAATGAGTCTTTCAATTAACTGCTGCTTACCTGTGACAGTTTCCTGGGCAATCCCCCTCTTCATAAGGTCCCATAAAGTTTCGATTGGATTAAGCTCTGGAGAATTACCTGGCTACTTCAGTACTTTAATTTTATTTTTTCCAGGTACGATGTTACTATTTTTGCCTTATGACACAGTGCTGAATCGTGCATAAAGGTAAAATCCTCCGATTTGCCAAAACAGTCTTTGATTTGTGGCATGAGCTTTCTTTCCAGAAGTTAAATAATATACTGATGTTGATTCATCATTTCATTCACAATGTACAGCCTCCCTGTGCCCTTACTGCTGATCACAGACCATACTATGATCTTGAGAGGATGCTTTACTCGGTCCAGTATGCAATCCTCGTTATATTTTTCAACCACTCGCCTTTGGACGAAGGCTGACTTATTCATGGGTATCTACACTGTAGACTCATCGTAGAAAGAAACCTGTGAATAAACAAAAACTACAAGATATTTTTTAGGATAAAACAGAGGTTATAGGGATTTAAACTTTAGTAGTGACTTAATTTACCTTATTCCAATCCTCATTTGTCCAATTTATGTGTTCTTTGGCCCATTCCAGTCTCTTTTTCATTATTGCAATGATCAACTTTGGTTTCTTCGCAGGGCGACATGATTTGAAACCTTACTCAGTAAGTCTTCTGCGGACTGCCATGTCAGAAACTGGCATCCCAGCTTCACGAATACGTCCCGTGAGGATTCTTCTTATCTTCTTTCTATTTTTTAATAAGATATCCCTCATTGTTCTTTCGTCTCTGGGTGTATAGTGACAAACTTTCGACCACATTTTTGGGCACGCTGTTGAGTCAGGGGTTTGTTGGTATCAATTTTTTTTTTCTTGATATTGCTCACTGTTGCTTGCGCTACTTGACATTGTTGAACTATCTGACGTTGGGAAAGCTTTGTATTCAATAAACGTGTCTTTATCTTCACCATTTTAGACACAGGTGCATCTTAAGCCTTACCCATTACGATTTTCTTCTCAAAAATCGAAATGTTTTAAAAAGTCTTTAAAATTTAAAACTGATAGTTCTTTTACTCACAATCACCACAAATACATTAATAAAACATACTACAACGATAAAACGATCAAATTCAGTTGTAAACTCCAAGCGCAAATTTACCACAATGTGTATGTTGTAACGTAATTTGACCCAAATGACAGTTCTAGAGCTGTAAACGTCAAAAAAGTAAGGTTAATAGTGACAAAATATATTGGCATACCTTAATTGTATAGCAGCATATGATTTTATTATAAAATTTTTGAACAAATTTGAAAAACTTAAACTTTTGTCACTGATCATAATATTTTGATCACCCACTGTATATATATCCGATAAATAAATCTATATTTTGTTTTAGTTCTGGACAACGCCAACTGATATGCTTGGCCAGATCGTTGGTCAGCAAAAATAAAATCATTGTTTTGGATGAAGCTACGTCCAACATGGATCCAGATACTTGCAGTCTCTTGCAAACGACAATTAAAACCCATTTTTCACAATGTACAGTGCTAACCATTGCTCATAAATTACAGACTGTGTTGGATTGTGATAGGGTAAGAGTTAATAGATATACATATTTTATGTAAACATATATAATATTTGTTAAATATTGTGTTTATATGGGATTAAGCTACAATTTATTGTAATGAAATTTGCATTTTTAACTATTTCTTGAAGTTTCGCCTTCCATAGTAGATTTGCTGGTATAACCACGCATTTTGTTTTTTTTTTGTAGCAGCATTTTTTGCAGTATATCTTGTAAATCATTTATTTTTAGAGGTTAGTATTGCATTGTTTCTAGAGCAGGTTATTTAAAGTTGTTTTTTTTTTCATTTGGTATCCTTTTTTCAATGTTGAAATTAAAAACAACCCATAGAAAACTAAATGTTATTCAGATCTATGATTCAATAAGTGACAAATCAGAGAAAATCAGGAAATTGAAAACTTTTTAACAATATAGATGAAATATTGCGACTGATAAAAAAAGGTGATATAACGATGATTATGGGTGATTTTATCGCCAAAATTGGTCGTGGTGTCGAAGGAGACAACATAAGAGCATACGGTCTCGGTACCAGTAACAATAGGGGAGATAGACTGCTACAATTCTGCGAATAGAACAACCTGCAAGTAGCCAACACCTTCCTTAACCAACATCCTAGAAGACTATACACTTGGAAATTACCTGCAGACAGAAAAGATAAAATTGATCGAAATAAAATTGACTTCATTTTGTTCTATAAAAACTTCAAGAAGTACATAACATCTACTTAAACATATCCTGGAGCTGACATTCATAGCGATCACAATCCAGTTATAACGGATATTAGACTAAAAAAGTTTCTTAAAGTTAAAAGGGAAAAAGTGAAAAGAAAAAGAGACATCTCACAACTGAAGAACCCTAAAAAGAATAATAAAATAAGTATCAATGTTAAGAAATAAATAAAAATGCTAGAGAACTTGGTACAGACAGACGTTGAAGTAACATGTACTGCTCTAAAAACGAAAATACCAAAGATACAGGAACATCGGGTTCACGAAAAACAACAGAAAACAAGACTGGATAACGCAAAAGATCATGGATCTTATAAACGTCAGACGAAAACACAAAACAAACCCAATAGAATACAAACGAGTCAATAAAATCAATAGAAAAAAGTGCAGAGAAGCTAAAGAAAACTGGATGTCAACCAAATGTCTAGAAATTTAACAACTTCAGGAAAGATACGACACCTTTATTGTCCATAAAAAAGTAAAAGAAGTGACAGTTAGATACAGAAAGAGACAAGAAACAATATTAAGAAATAATAATAACAAGATAAATATGGGTACAAAAGATGAAATGAAGAGATGAAAAGAATACATTTAGACACTGTTTGACGATGATATACCTTGTTCTCCACCATCCACGGATGATCGAATAAGTGAATAAGGTCCAAAAATATTAAAAGAAGAACTTTTATTTATGCAGCAACAGCTCAGAAGAATGAAAAAGCTACGGTCCAGACGATATCAATGTCAAAATACTTAAATTAATTGCAGACAACGAAAGTAAATGCCTCGATTTATTAACAGCACTATTATATAATAAGATATATCACACAGGTAAAATACCATCAGATTGGCTAAAATCAACATTCCTAACATTACAAAAAAATCCAAAGCCTCCCACTGCGATGACTATCGAATATTCAGCATGATGTCTCATGTCCTTAAAACTTTTCTTAGAGTCATTCATACACGAATTTACTTCATACACGAATTTATTTCATTACACGAAGTGTGAGTTTTAGATTAGTGACACTCAATTAGAATTTCGAAATGGATTGAGAACACGAGAAGCTCTTTTTGCCTTAAATGTGAAATGTGTTAACACAACGATACAAAGACAATAATGTAAATGTATATTCATATTTTATTGATTATGGAAAAGCATTTGACTGCTTTAACCATCAAAATATATCGAAATTCTGAGAACAACTGAAATTTACGAATAAGACTTGCGAATTATCTTAGAACTATATTGGTACCAAATGGCAATAATTGAAATAGAGCACACAACATCCGAAGATATATGAATCCGACGAGGAATGCGACAAGGTTGCGTCTTATCACCATTATTATTTAATCTGTATTCGGAATCTATATTGAAAAATGCATTAGACGAAGTTCAAGGTGGAATCAAGTTTAACGGAACCAGGATAGACGACATCAGGTACGCTAATGATAGCGCCCTAATAGCAAGCAACGCACAAGAACTAGAAAATATAATAAATTCGGTCATAGCGAAATGTTTGGTTTATATCTACATATTTCCAAAACTAAAATTCTAGTATTTTTAAAGATACCAACAACCGTACATTTTTGTCTTCCATAAAATATTTGGGAACAAATATCAACAGATAGTGTAACAAAAAAAAAGAAATTGTGAAAAAAAAAACTGTGAAAAAAAAACTGTGAAAGTTGGACAATGGACTCTGGAACAAAAAGAAATAGATGAATTCGAAATGTATATATACAGATGGATGCTGAAAATTTCATGTATACAAAAAGTTACCACTGGTGAAGTACTTCAGCGCATGAGTCAACAAAAAGAATTACTCAGCATAATCAAAGAGAGAAAAATACTTAGATCATGTGTTGAGAGGTAAAAGATCTGAATTACTCCAAATCATATTGGAAGGTAAAGATCAGAAGGTAAAGGCAAAAGATTAGTTGAAAGACGCCACAACTCGTGGTTGAAAGACCAGAGGAAATGGTTTGACCGATTATCCACAGAAATATTTCGTGCAACAGTTTCCAGGGGTATGGTTACTATTTGAATCACCAATCTTCCAAAGGAGACTTCGCAATAAGAAGAAGAATCCTCTTTTAGTTTAAACTTTTTTTATTATTTTATCCATGATCAGGTTATATTATATCCAATACTAAAGGGATCAAGGAATCTCCTGGTTTAATTTCTGGTTGGGTTACAGAATTTTCTTGATGATCTTCGGCGACTGTTTCAATGCCTCCTTGTGTCAGACAGCTAGGGACAAAGGCAGCATCTAAAATAGTATTTGCATTGAATAGCCATATCCCAGTTGTTTCAAATCCATAATAAATATTTTTTGTGTCGTTGCATTTTTCCACACCGGCGTCAATATTTGCCTATATTTTTCTAGGTTGATGATACGTTTCTTATTATGCTTCACCCAAACATTTAATTCCAGCAAGATTCTAAACTCCTGAAGACTGCTTTATCAAGTGGTTGAAGCTTATAAGTGGTGTTGGACGGTAGACAAAACAAAGTTACATATTTTTTCATTGCAGCTTCTACAATTCGAATGTCAAAATGAGATGAAGCTCCATCAAAAATTAAAAGGGGTGATCCCAGATTTTTAAATCGGCAGAAGCGATCTAGCTACTCTATAAATGCTTCTGCTGTCATTATAATTTTTGTTTCTGCTGAACGAATATACTAGCTAGCTTAACTCTTTCTCCTTTAATAAATAAAAGTGGCGAAATGCTCTGGTGCGATTATATGTGTAATAATGTTTAACACGGACTGTTGTACATATTTATTAATATTACTTTCAGTATTACAGATTACAGTGTCATCCTAACCTCCTAATCTAAAGTGCTTCACCTAACCTCTGCCCCGAGACCACGTGCCGCCTGTCCCATGTCATAGTCCTGTCAGGACTTTACATTTACAAGCTATTCAGTCTCATGACATCTTTCCCTTCCTATAATATACAGACATTACAACAATGAACTAAGAATAAAAACATTCTAAAATAAAAACTAATAACAATACTGATTGCAAAATTAGTACATTTCAAAATCATTATATCTAGATGGGGGTTTAATTAATCTTTTACTTCTGGTAGGAAACTGATTCGATATTTCACTCTCACGGGCCATTGATGTTGAAGGTCTGCCATTCTCATTGTGATCAAAATCATCTGCTAGGTTAATATGATGTTTAGGCATATTATTAGATGGTCTCAAGTGATAGCTATTTCTTCTTACAAGTGTTCCATTTTCTTTCTCAACAACATATGATCTTGGCTCTTGTAAACCTCGTCTAACCACAGCAGGTTTCCATTGCCCATCTTCTCTTATAACCACATTATCCCCTACACTTAATGCTTCTTTTGTAGCTGTATTTCTATCATAGTAGTGCTTGTACAATTTTCTTTTATTATCCAATTTATTCTTTTCATTTTTTAGGTCTACCTGTTCTGGTAAATGTTTCTCTTGTAAAACTGGAAGTTTGCCTCTAAGTCTACGACTATTCAAGAGTTGTGCTGGGGACTTGTCTGATCCTAATAGTGGTGTATTTCTATATTCTAATAAAGCTAACTGAAGATCTTCACACTTCCTGAAAATATTTTTAGCTATCTGGACGGCTCGTTCTGCCTGACCATTTGCTCTAGGATATCTAGGACTAGATGTCACAAATTTAAAGTTCCATTCCTTAGAAAATTCTCGACATTCCTTAGAGCCAAAAGGCATATTATCAGATACAACTTCCAAAGGAATCCCATGAGTGGCAAACATCGTCTTAAACGAATTTATTATTGACTGGGATGTTTTGGACTGCAACGGAACAATTTCAATCCACTTTGTGAGATAATCCATTACAATTAAATAAGATGTTCCTCCAAATTCACAAATATCAGCTGCTAGCATTTGAAATGGCAGTTCTGGAATTTCTCTTAGTACTAATGGCTCTTTAACATTATTTCTCTGATATTTCTCACACTCAACACAATTTCTAACCAAATCCACCTAACCAAATCCACTATGTTCTTATTCATATTTGGCCAGAATAATACCTGTCTCGCTCTTTGCTGTGTTGTTGTAACCCCAAAGTGTGTTTCATGAAGCAGCTTTAACATCCTATGCCGCAAAGAATCCGGAACTATGACTCTGTCCTTATAAAACATCAAATCATTTAATGAGTAAACATCATGCCTAATATTAAAATAATCTTTGACTATGTAAGGTACCCTCGATGCACATGACGGCCACCCTTTTTCACAAAAATCTCTAATTATTTAAAGCTTCTTATCCTGTTTAGTTTCAGCTATAAATTCCTCTCTCCTTTCTTCTGTTATATTTAATGTATGCACTATTTCCGTTACAAATGCATCATCCTCTACCTTTTCCTTCAAAAAGTTTCGAGACAACAAATCATCTATAAGCATTTCCTTGCCTGGCTTATATTCTACAGTTAAGTCATATTTTAATAATTTTACCTTCATACGTTGTAGTCTAGGAGAGTCTACTTCTGCTATGCCTTTCTTCATTATCGAAATCAATGGCTTATGATCTGTGAAAACCTTAACTTCTCTACCATAAATATAATTATGAAATTTATTACAAGAAAATAGGATTGCATTTAGTTCCTTTTCAATCTGGCTAAATCTGGTTTCACAATTGGTTAAAGATCTAGAAGCAAAAGATACAGGTTTAAGATTTTGTAATAATACACATCCAACACCATTTTGATTTGAATCTGTTTGAATTATTATTGGAATATGTTCATCAAAATTTGCAAGAACTGGTGGTGAGCAAATTAACTTTTTTATTAAATTAAATGAGTTTGTGTGACTTCTAGTCCACATCCAAACTGTATCCTTTTTCAACAATTCTCTTAGTGGGGCTGATACATCCGATAAATTTGGTATAAAATTGCGATGGTAATTGATCATGCCCAGTATTCTTTGTAACTCTTTTTTATTATTGGGTTCTTTTAAATTTATAATAGCTTTAACTTTATCTACATCAGGTCTCATACCATCTTTATCAAATGTATTTCCCAAATATTTTACTTCCGGCATTCTATACTGTATCTTATTGGGATTAAATTTTACTCCAATATTTCTAGCACGTTCTAATACTTTATTAAGGATTCCATCATGTTCTTTAAGACTACCTGCAAATATCAAAAGATCATCAAAATAGATGAGACATCCCTCAATATCACCAAAGTTTTCTAAGTTAATTCTTTGAAAAAATTCAGGAGCAATATTTAGTCCAAATGGAAGTCTATCAAATTTCCAAATTCCAAAAGGAGTTCCAAATGCACAAACTCTACTGGACCTCTCATCAAGTTGAACTTGATAGAATCACTCTTTAAAGTCCAAAACAGAAAAATAACATTTGTTTTTTAACTTACTGCATATCTCTTCAATAGTAGGTATTAAACAATATTCCTTTTTAAGTGCTTTGTTTAAATCTCTAGGATCTAAACAAATTCTTAATGTTTTATCAGTTTTTTCAACTATAACCAAATTGCTCAACCACTCTGTAGGACCCTCACATTTAGATATAATGCCACGTTTTTCTAAATCTAACAGTTGATTTTTTTAATCTCCCTTTAATGGCTAAAGGGACCCTTCGTGGGGGCTTAGCCACAGGAACACAATTCTCTTTGAGTTTTAGTTTACATTTTTGAGGACATTTACCTAATCCAGTGAATACATCAATATTTTGTTTAATAAAGTCATTTTTTGTTATATTTAAATCTATGGTATCTACTCTTTGTATCAAACCCAAATCTAAACATGATTTTAAACCTAAAATTGGCACAAGGTTATCCTTAACTATAACAAATTCTAGATGTTCCCTTTAAATAAACATTTTAGTGTAATAATACCCACAGGTTTTATTTTAAATCCCCCATAAGCTTTTAACCTTATTTTGCTCTGAATTATCTCATGATTTTTATTGATTTTATTCAAAAAGTAGATTGATATAATGTTAACCTGAGAACCTGTATCTATTTTAAAGTCTATTCCATATTGCTCAATTACTAACCTTTCACTCCATTCCTTATTTCCTTTTATTTCATTTACCTCAATTGATGTTACCATAAATTCTTCCTGTTTACGGTCCATATCTACTTCTTGAATCTCCTGAACTTCTCTTATGATTCTGTTGTTACACATTTTCTCGAAATGATGTAATATAAACACTTATTGCACATTTTACCAAATGCTGGACACCTTCTGAACTCATAAGCACGGCCACATTTTCTGTACTGACCACTTTTCCTTGAGTTTTCCTCCTGTTCCCATCTTTTGTTTCTTCCAGTATTAAAGTTGTTATTCGAAGCTTTTGCCCTTGCTGTTTGATTACCATTTCCCCTTTTACAGAATAAACATTAAGTGCTTGACTTGACTGAACTTCTTTAAACTGTATTTTTGAAATTTCATATGCTCTACACATGTCTATTGCCTTTTGTAAGGTTATCTCATGATTCTGCAACATTTTTTCTTGTAGATCTTTATTGATTGTTCCTAAAACTAGTCTATCCCTGATCATTGAATCTAGTACATCTCCGAATTCACAATTTTTTGCCAATTTACGCAAGTCAGTTAGGTAAGTATCAAATAGCTCTCCTTCCTCTTGTTTTCTATTGTAGAATAAAAATCTTTCGTAGATCACATTCTTTTTAGGGGTGAAGTAATTCTCTAATTCACCCAATACTGTACCATACGATTTTCTCTGTGCATCTGTTAACTTTAAGGTATTAAACACATCAAGTCCTTCATCTCCCAAAAAATTTAACAGTAGAGCAATTTTTACTGTGTCTTCCTTTTCGGCCTTGTCACTGGCCAAGAGGTAAATTTCAAATGACTGTTTGAATCGCCGAAAGTTTTCAGCCACGTTACCTTCAAATGATAATGGTTGAGGTATTCTAAACTCCATATTGTTCTAATTCTAACAACTTCTTGTTTTTATTTATTTTGGAAGCAGCAGGCTTCATTAACCACAAGACTGCGCCATGTAATAATGTTTAACACGGACTGTTGTACATATTTATTAATATTACTTTCAGTATTACAGATTACAGTGTCATCCTAACCTCCTAATCTAAAGTGCTTCACCTAACCTCTGTCCCGAGACCACGTGCCGCCTGTCCCATGTCATAGTCCTGTCAGGACTTTACATTTACAAGCTATTCAGTCTCATGACAATATGCACCTTTTTAGCACCTTTACTAGCCAATACAGTTTGTTGGTGATGCAGGCATCTTTTTTAGTTTATGTAAATTTGAGAAGGTTTATCTGCGAAGCCTTTCTAATATAAAATCTGTTAAAGTTTTCGATGTATTCATGAATAACTCTACGATTCAAATTTTTGTGTTCTGGCTTAGTTGAGTTTTTGAGCTACAGTCCTTTGTGGACTGCTACAAGCTAGATGGTAACGTACGCCGAGGTATATTAAATGTAAGTGCTGCCTTATAAATAATTATTTAATTTCGTATGGCATTAATCGAAGCTTCATTGACCTCTTCGGACCACTGTGACCTTTTCCTGGGGGAGATACCTGCAAAGAAAAAATATTTTAAATAGTTATATGAACTCTGAATAAGGCCACTTGACTTCTAATAAGTTTAGTCAATTGGCCTTATTATGGCACTGCCTACTTCTTTATTTAACATCAAAGAACAGTAATAATAACCAAATAAGAAAAAAAAAGTACCATTTCCTAAAAGAGTATTAATTTGCTATCGCTTTACAAAGAAAACACAATTGGTACATATTATTTTAATATCTTTGTAGTGACTTTATAACTTACTAAAAAATTATAACCGAACTTCCGTACTATGACAAACACGTGTCTAATAAACTTATAATATCTATATTTAAAAAAATATTTACAATTGGTCTTATTAAGACACTGGTTTTATTTGGCGCTAGAACCTTGTTATATATTATATTTGACATGTATTTGATGTATCTTTTTTTTTCAATTAAAAGTGGCGTTTATTCCCAATAAATATAGTAGATAAACACAGCATACCTAAGTTTAGAGCATACCTTTATGCTAATGTGCAAAATTTTAATTAATTAGAATTATTTTTTAGATAATGGTTGTTGATCATGGTGAAATTATAGAGTTTGATACTCCACAAGCCTTGAGAACAAAACAAGGTGGTATCTTTAACAAAATGATTGAACATTCGGGAATACAAGATTAAACTATATTTTTTCTGTACAAGATGCAAATAAACTTTTTTATTTATTGTGATTCCTTATTTGCTTGCTATTACCATTATTTTTTTAAGGGTACGAACATACCGAAGATACATGGATGTATGCGATGAAGATCGCCGTCGTGTTGATACATTGATGTTAAAATAAATCTTCATATTCTTATGAATATATAATACTCCTAGACACTGCAATAAAATAAACCAATATAAAGAGTTTATGCAGATTTTAGGAAAAAGACACATTCTCGGTGGCGACTTTAATGCAAAAAATACCCACTGGAACTCTAGGCTAACTACAACTAAAAGAAAAGAACTAACTATCTGGATATCAATGACAGGTAAAACATAAAATCTGATCACCCACCGATAATTTTAATTAAGAGTTATATAGTAATTAAAAAGAGTTAACTAATAAAAAACTGTCTGGAAGAGCTTCAAAATAAACATTGAAAACAAAATTAATCTTGTTGTGCCATTGAGAAACATAAAGCAACTTGATGACAAATTAGAAGTTTCTACAAAAAATATCCAACAGGTAGCTTGGGAAAATACTTCCATAATAACTTCTAGAACAAAAGGTAACAACTGCCCATTAAAAAATCAGAGAACAGAACTCACAAGAGAAAAAGAAAGTTAGAAAAAAAATGGCAGCAATACAGAGCTCCACGAGACAAATCTAGACAAATATTGCTACACTAAAACTAAAAAGGGAAATACAGAATATAAAATATTCAACAATTGATTCCTTTTTAAGTAATTTAACAGCTGACCAGAACACAGACTATTCATTATGAAAGGCAATAAAAATAATAAAGAGACCAATTATTTATTTCCCCTGTATTAAGTTAAAAATCGGCAACTGGGCCAAAAGCACGGCTAAAAGTAACTAACAGAAAGCAAAACGATTTGCATATCATTTAAAAAAACATGTTCAAACCTAACGAAAATAATGGTGAAAAACTGACATGGGAAGAACCATTCCAAACCGAAGAAAGAAAAACGTTGACATCATTTAGAAAAGTATCAATAGAAATAAAAGAAAATATAAATCCTAAGAAAACTCCAAGATATGATCTTATAACAAGAAAACTATTAAAAAATTTACCAAGAAAAGCCATAGTTAAGCTGACACACCTAATAAGTGTTGCTTTTAGCTTGAGATATGTTTTTAGACACTGGAAAGTAGCTGAAGTCATTATGATCGCCAAATTAGATAAAACTCTAATTTCTTTATTTTAAAAAATTAAAATAAAGAAAAAACCTCATAACGAATCATCAATTTAGTTTCATAAATAAACATTCCATTATAGATCAAGTTTACAGAGTAACGAATATAATAGAAAAAAAAAACAGAAAAAAAGAAAGTCTGCTCCACAATCTTCTTGGACATAGCACAGGCGTTTGATAAAGTCTGGCATGGGGGTTTAAACTAAAAACTAAATACGTTCATGCCTAAACAGTATTTAAACATCTTAGCATCACACATTGCGAATGTGTATGTGAATGTGAACAAGAAGAAATGTACACCGATTTAGGGAAGATCAAGGCTGGTGTGCCACATAGTCCTGTCCTGTACCTATTCTATACGTGTGACAGTCCAGAGCTAGAACAAAACAGTATTGCCACCTTCGCGGATGATACAGCCATACTAGCGATAGGAAACACTACTGAAGAAGCGCTTAACAAACGTCATTTTATGTTTTTATAACTTTTTTTATTGGGTAGTGGGTAGGAACTCCTTTGGACAGTCCTACAAGGGAAAGTGAATCAATCTCTACCCTCCGGAGATTCTAGGAGTTTCCTTACCCGGGAAACTAGGACCTGCTTAGGGTCCCTTGTCCAGGGTCATGGATGAAGACCACAACGGTATCCACGGTAGAGAAGAACGCCTTCGGTAAGGTTTGTATGGCGGAAGTAGCGACCCCCGATTTTATTGTTCGTACAAAATTAAAAAGGTGGACGAAACACGTTAGCGGTAAATCCCGCAATACGTCTAGGAGCGGGAGACTCTGAATCCAAACCCGTGGTTCTCCAGGTTGGGGGTTAAGGCATTGGGCTAACTCCCCAGTACTTGTAAAAAAACATAAAAATGTTAAAAAAAACCCAATCACATGCCTCGGAATAGGACGGCACAACAAAGACGACATAAGCTTCTTCTTCTTCTTCAAGTTCCACTCCTATCGGAGATTGAAAATCATTCTGGCAATTATAATTTTATTGGTTACTCGCCTAAATAGTTCAATTGAACTGCATCCAAACCACTCACGGAGATCGCGTAGCCACGAGATTTTACGTCTTCCTACGCTTCTTCTACCTTTGATTTTACCCTGCATTATATTCCTTAGTAGTTCGTACTTTTCACCTCTCATGATGTGCCCCAAGTATTCCAATTTCCTGATCTTTATGGAATTTAAAACTTCGCATTGTTTTCCTAGTTGTTCGAGAACTTGTTCGTTTGTTTTGCGATCCAGCCACGATATTTTCAAAATGCGTCGGTAACAGAGGAACTCCTTTGCCCAGATAATAGAAAAAAAGGATGAAATCAAGAGATTCATATGTTGTTCGTCGACCTACAAAAGTCCTACGACAGCGTTCCACTGAAGAAGCTATGGCAATCAATGGAAAGTACTAATATTAACATAGAATTAATAAAAGCTGTTAAAGTGCTATACAACCAACCAATATCAAAAATTAAAGCAGGAGCACAAATAACAACAGGATTTTACCATCTAAAGAATTAAAGCAAGGATGTTGTCTGTCCCCCACTTTATTTAAAATATACCTCGAAAGTGTTTTAAAAAGATGGAAACAAAAATGCAGGACAATGGAGATACCGCTCACCAACACTATGGTATTAAACTATATAAAATAAATTATGACGATTTAAACTATATGGCATAATAATTAATTGAATGGTATGATATATGGGGTCTAGAACTAAATAAAAAAAGCGAATACCTGTGCAATGGAGTAGAAGAAAAAGATCTCATATTAGACGATAAAACCACGATAAAGCACTGCTGTGACTACAAATATCTAGGTATCACTATTTTACAAGATGGAACATTAGACAAAGCTATAAGAGACATAAATACGTCAGGGAGAAAAGCCATCACAATGTTAAACAGCATTTTATGGGACAAATCCATCAGCAAAGAAAATAAAAAGAGGATATATAAGACTATAGTAAAAAGTATCACTTTATACAGTTGTGAGGTATGGCCACTGAACGAAAAAACACTTGCAATGCTGCAAGCGATGGAAATGGATTATTGGAGAAGAGCCACAGGAAGATATAAAAGAGAAAGGATTACCAAAGAACGCATTAGAGCAACAATGGAAATCAAACGAAAAATCACAAATGACCTAACAAAAATATAACTTATCTGTTTCGGACACATACAAAGAATGGATGAACAACGAATATCAAAAGAAATATTAAAATGGCAATTAGAAGGAAAGAAAAAACGATGTAGACCGAGAAAAAGTTAGAGCGAAGGAATAAACAAAGAACTGAGGGAGAGGTCAATAGAAGAAGACATATGGAACAACCGGACTAACTAACGATTGGAACTCAGAAAACGTCGGAGGACGTTATTAACCGACAAGTTGTAGTAGTATAACTTTTTTTATAATAAATCAACAACAGCTTACCTAATCGATTTGGCTTATTTTGGTTTTAAAAAAATATTTATTTGAAATCCTAGGATGATTTAATAGGTGAGAAAATATAACGAAAATATAAACAGAATATTTGACGGTATACAAGGCAACTATCGAACACGGTGATTAATTTAATCTTGCCCAAGTACTTTCGATCAATAGATCATCTTCAGGGGCATTTCGTCAGTTGTGGCCTATCCGACATGAGTAGAATGTCATAAATGTAAATTTGGACATAACAATACAATACACAAAGACAAACAAACACTTTAAAATTTTTTGAAAAGGAGAAGCTACATGTTATATAGAAGCCGGAGACAGAATGTTCTGTCTGAAATGCCCCTGAAGATGATCTATTGATCGAAAGTACTTGGGCAAGATTAAATTAATTACCGTGTTCGATAGTTGTCTTGTATACCGTCAAAGTTTAATTATTCGAACATTCAACCTTATATTGATAAACAGAATAGTAAAAACAACGGTTTTATTTTCCCGTACAAACAGATACATTATACCCTTATACAAACTGTTTTATTAAGATTTTACCTCTACTATAGTGGTAGTTGTTCATTTAAACATAAAGTGACGTTTAATAAACGACATGTCTATTTACTTTTCCGTTTCGCAACGACTAACTATTCAGTGCTGCTGTATTACTATTGTCTGGTAACTTTCGACGAAAATTATTGGTTATTCCTCTCTTCACAATTGTAACCTCGGAAATCTTTTTTGGGTGGTGCTCGAAAGATAACCAATGGACACACTGCGGACGGCAGCCAGATGGTTGGTGGAGAGCGAGTCGTGGGTTCGAAACTAGCTTTTGGAACCGGGAATGGATCCAACGGAAGAAATAGGTAAAGATAGGATAAGAGATATTAGAAAAGATACAGAAATAAACAAAAGGATAGATGGGTAAAATTACCAAAGATAAGAGAAGATAGAAACAGGGCGCCACTTAATTTTTTGGGGTTAAGGAGAAAATTAAGAAAACCTTAGAAAAGAAAAGAGATAAGAAAAGATATTTAGGTTCAGAGATCAAACCCAAGGAAAGATACCAACAGTAAATTATCAAATAAATTTGGTCAACGCAATATATAAACAAATAATAAATATATTAAGTATTACACTTACCTACGAAACTTAATCAGCCTGATCTTTCTACAGTTCAAAAGCATAGTAATATTTAAAGATAGTAATTGTTCAGAGCTATTATTTTATCAGGGAACTTGTTAGGAGCCGACAAATAAAATACATGCATAAAACAATAACAGTATATTAAACACAAAATTATGATTCTGCTAAATGCGACACAAGTAATAAAAATACACAACTATGAAATGGTGTTATATATGTATAAAAATAATCAATAA